TTTGTCATTTCCTTGTTGATGACGATGTCCACGTTGATATTTGCTTGGAATTGCTGATGTGCTGTTTCCGCGTTCACGACTACGAGCAAATATGATAGGTTCATATTGAGTTTCGCCGCGACACCGTACTTCTTGTGGTGTTTCACGGTGCCCCGTTCGCAGGCACGTCTCAAACCCAGACCGATGAGCTAGCTCTTCTCGACGACGACGACAGCATGGACCCACAAGACCCGGAGGACGAGACACAAGGAATGGAGATCCCGACAGGCTTTCGCATTCAAGAAGTTAAACCCGTTGCTCTTGACAGATTGCTTTTTCGACGTGGAGTGCTCGTCAGGCTAGGGATGGGGTGGTTTGGAGGGTTGATCATTCAGCAATCTCAGCAGGACACTCGCCACCTGTACGACTACTGTGTGCAGCTGGAGCTAGACCAGAGTACGCGCAAGATGAAGCTGCTCTTAGACGAGTACACCGGAGATCCGGATGCGGCGGTAGGCTCCTGGGTTTTGCTTGAGAGCGTTAGTAGATCGGGGAGGGTACGTAGGACCAAGGTCACCCTTGTGGACCACGATGATTGACAGTTGCTGCTGCATGCCTTGGTGTGTTCTTATACCAAACGACAGCATTGTTCCTCATGCTCAACACTATAAACACCCCGCCGAGTGCAGTTGACAGCCGCCAACAAAATACGTCGTCATACAACGTACGCCAACAGGGCCATTTGGTGTTGAAATAAGAACAAGAACGTTTCGCTGGAGAAAAATGGGACGGCGAAATAAGAACATGGCCAATAAGAACACGTGCTCGGGTTGGGGCAGCCAAAAAGAACTGAGCCTTGCTCGAAATAGGAGGTTCTTAAGTGCGGGCCTCGACTGTATTCCAGTATTGAAGTCCGTACTAAAGCAGCCAGTACAGTACAGTATCGAAAGCTGTACTAAAAAAACTGAAACTTATATTCCAGTACCGAGACCTGTACTAAAGGTACTGAAACTTTTGTTCCAGTATCGAGAGCTGTACCAAAAGTACTGAAATTTGTATTCCAGTATCGAAAGCTGTGCTAAAAGTACTGAAACTTGTATTCCAGTATCAAGAGCTGCACCAAAACAGCCAGTACATTCCAGTATCAAACTCTGCACCAAAACAGCCAGTACATTCCAGTATCAAGAGCCGCACAAGACTAAGCGTGCAGTCTATTCCAGTATCGAGAGCTGTACTGAAACAGCCAGTATATTCCAGTATGCCTCGCAGGTACTGAATACTGCTGTGCAGTACCGCCAGTACTATACTGTACAAAACACACGTATATATGTTGTTGCTGCTGTGGAACATAAAAAACTTAGCTGACCAAAAACTTGCCATTGAACGATTGGTAATGGAAGACATTACTCGGAGTTTCTGCATTTTGCGTGGGGGGGAAGGCAGAGTAAGTGTGCTCTTATCGGCCGCGTGGGTGGTGTTGCCACAATTGTTCCCGCCCCCATCACTATCCCCGGTGTTTGCCATCCGGGTTGGGTTTCCGTCGCTTGGCAATGACGTCGTAAAACAAGCCCCCCCCTCGGTGTTTGCCATCGAGGGGGGGTGTATGAGTACACCCCCCCTCGGTGTTTGCCATCGGGGTTGGGTTTTCGTCGCTTGGCAACGACGTTGTAAGACAAGCCAATTCATTTCGTGAACTCGGCAACCAGGTTGTTACCGTTTATTGTACCTCATTTTTTTTGGCGGTAACAATTATGAATGGTGGTCGAGTAGATTATGTTGTGCGGGGTCGAGAACCCTCACTCCGCGCAAGGGGGATGATCGCACCACGTTGTGTTAAAATGGTCAAGCACCCTCGAGGCAGTTACACAATGCTACACAGGTGGCCAGTGGGCACGGTTACGGGGGGGTTAAAGTGACATGTAACCCCTAGGCGTTGTGCAACCTGCGTAACCCGGTCGGGCGCACCTTTACCAACCTCCAAGGTTAGGCAGGGTTCCGAAACGCCGGTCCAAACTCAGTAAAGGGAAATTTGTATTCGTGCTTGGTTGCAGGCGAGGTTGTCCAAGCCCGAGAATGTCCATGCCGTGCCGCGAAAACTATGTACCAGCCGGTGTCCACAGAGTACACGACACACCGATTTATCGGACATTCGCGGCATAGACTATATATATAAAAAAACAAACTACTTCAAGAGTGCCGGCATTTGTAAGACCGATTTTTTTTTTTTTTTGCCTTCCGACAATTGCAGATGTACCTCAGAAAATTTTCACTTAATGTCTCATACTCTACATGAATATCAAACCAATACGAAGTACAACAACATATGTAGGACTTGTTTCTACTGTCACTTACATCGTAAAAATATCTCCGCTTCAACTTGAAATATAACCAATGACAATCCTCATGGTATCCTTTATGCGTTCGTAAGCTTGCTAAAATACTACTGCGTTGATGTCCTCTTGTACAAGCTGAAATCCAACAAATGCTTTGATCCATGCTACATCTCCGTGTTGGAAAAGCCCTTTCATCTCCGTTCATGATAACATCTTACCCTATTCTACGCAAATCTGTCACATCTACTCTCAAACAAGACGCCAACTTCAAACGAAAACGCGTTCTACGATGCGTCTACACTCCATCCCCATATCATTGGCGATGACTGGTTCGAGGTCGATCTTGTTTGCCTGTTCTCGGCGTCTTGACGCCCGCGCAATGCGAGCTTGTACCTCTGCACTCGCCGAGATATGGCCACCTGTGTAGCCACCGAAACGATCTGAAGAAGTCGTTCCTTGAAGACTCCTTTCAGAGCCATCGTTCCTCCGTCCCTTCCTCCCACGGCATGTGTCGCAAGTTCATCGATGAACTCGTAACCCTCNCGTCTTGACGCCCGCGCAATGCGAGCTTGTACCTCTGCATTCGCCGAGATATGGCCACCTGTGTTTGTCATAGTTGACTACCGTTGGACACGCAAAAATAAAAACACTACACCCGGGTCCCCCCATCTCCGCACCACCAGTACTATTTTCAAAGGAACCTCCTCCTCGCCGCTGATCTGCAACTAAATAACTGCCCACCGTTCACCCCGCGAGTAGCCCCTCACCCCTTCGTGATTGCTCATTATATCTTGCAGCTGTCGCGTTTCGGGGGTTGGTTCTGTTCTTACACCACAAAGAAATGCGGGTTCGTTCTTGTTCCTAACACCACGTCGGGCCTGAGCACGCACGTGTGTTGTTGTAATTATTAATTTGTCGACAATTTCTTTGATTTTGACTTTTTTTCGAGGCCGCATTTCTTAACTGCCAAGTTCTTAAGTGCGAGCGCCATCTTCATGTTCTGATGATCATGATGTAGTGCCGTCCGGAAGCAACATAGACAGACATGGACCTACTCTATTTGATATATAGTCTATATTGTTGCGTAGAAACACGCACGGCAACGATTGGGGGGCAAAGCAAAGACCGAGAAAACGAGAGATAGAGTAGGCGATGATATACTACCTACACACGCTGCCTCTCTCGTAAAAGTCAATACGACAACACGTACGTACGTCTGTCTCCTTAAAAATATATAACAATAAAAGTGGTCGAATGTAGTATTATTACAAAATAAAATATTCTATGCTGAAAACAAATGCGCGCTCAGCGTTGTTAAAAAATTCTATACTTCGTATACAAGACTATATGTTGTTGCTGCTGTGGAATATAAAAAATTAGCTGAACAAAAACAAACTTGCCATTGAGCGATGCGTAATGGAAGATATTACTCGGAGTTTCTGCTTTTAGCGTGGGGGGGACCGCATAGTACAAGTGTGCTCTTATCGGCGGCGTGGGTGGTGTTGCCACAATTGTGTTCGCCCCTACTTAAAAGCATAGAATTTGGTACAATAGTCAGGCTTCAACATGTAGCGTTTCGGTCAATCGATAGAATATCTGGCCCAGGTTGCTGGTTCGATCCACCCCATGTTATGTTTTCTTCACCGATCAATCCGACGTAGAGCAAAGCCAAGCGAAGAATTGCGTAACTTCAACCGAACTATGGGTTGAATACAATGTAGCGATGGAGGGGAAGGGTCACACATAGTTGTTCTTTTCTCCTCCTTCATTTACACCAATCCGCGCACGACCGCTTTCATAACCTGGTACGTACGTTATGCCCGCTCGGCCTGTAACCCCCCCACGTTATCCCATGTAATAACCCCTGGTTGGCCGGAGGTTACACAACGCCCTTGTACAACCGTGCCCGCGGGCCACCTGTGTAACAACTGTCTGGAAGTGAAGCACCAGAAAGTAAATTAAGTCATACGCAGCTGTCATCCGTATGGAAGGAAGTTAGCACAAGGTGCCCAACACCCTTAGCAGGATGCAGCGCACCCTTCATGCGATTCGCCGAATATCTCACGACGCTTCGCGCTTGGTGATGTGAGAGCCCGGTCCGGTGAGAACCCGGCGTGCTCCGTCCCGGCTTTTTAGGGATGCGAAGTCAATGGTCTGAGGACTACGGCATGCACGACTATGAGTACAGCCCCCCCCATCACTTTAGATTCATGGAATTCACGAGTAAATACGTGATGTGCTTCAACATATTGCGTAGCGGTACCCGGTAGACTTTATAGACACAGTTCGCTGGTTCGATCCCCTCCGCGTTGTGTTCCTGCGCTAGTCATCTCGAAAGAGAGTAAACTTGTCTGCCGATGTATCGCTGAATTAACCCAACGGTAGAGTGAAATACAATGAATGGAAGGGAGGGGAAAGCTCACACATATTTTTTCTTTTCTGCTTCACACCAATCCGCACATGACCGCTTTCATAACCCGGCACGTTATGCCCGCTCGGCCCGTAACCCCCCCACGTTATCCCATGTAATAACTCCTCGTTGGCCGGAGGTTGCACAACGCCCCCGTACAACCGTGCCCACTGGCCACCTGTGAAGGTCTCTGTAACGTGCGATGAAACAAAAAAAAACTTTCGAGCGGAATATCGGAGGTGTCGCAAATGGTCTACATCGATGCATTTGAAGTCGAGGATGAGTACCGTCTTGTCATACACCTCTTGCTCACAGGGTGCTCTTACCCGCCAACGTCAACAGCGGGTATATGGAACACCCACACCCTATCTTGCATCGTATCATTCAGCACCCGCAAAATCAGAACTGCTGTACACTCAACTACCTGCAGGGTGTACCTGTGTAGGCGAAGCTGCGATGCACTTCCTCAACAACATTCAACCCGCAAAAGTCCGTGTGGTGACTGAACCGCGGGCGGTTTTGAGTCTATGTTTTCGGAGTTTTTTTATGGAGCGCGAGAATTAGCACCCTTCGCGGAACACGCAGATATAGACTATTCTGCACTCAATCAACGCCACCGACAAACAACATTCTTTGAACGTCCGGTCGCCCGGCGGCCCTCCTGTAAGCACCCTCTACTCAGGGTAGAACACAAGCCTCGATCCCCCGCTCTTGCCGCAGCCTCCATCGGTGTACCACACGCCCCAGTATTCTCCGACCTTCACATGGTGAGCATGTGTGTACTTAGCTCTCCGCAAAAAAACGCACATAACCGNGAAGTCGAGGATGAGTACCGTCTTGTCATACACCTCTTGCTCACAGGGTGCTCTTACCCGCCAACGTCAACAGCGGGTATATGGAACACCCACACCCTATCTTGCATCGTATCATTCAGCACCCGCAAAATCAGAACTGCTGTACACTCAACTACCTGCAGGGTGTACCTGTGTAGGCGAAGCTGCGATGCACTTCCTCAACAACATTCAACCCGCAAAAGTCCGTGTGGTGACTGAACCGCGGGCGGTTTTGAGTCTATGTTTTCGGAGTTTTTTTATGGAGCGCGAGAATTAGCACCCTTCGCGGAACACGCAGATATAGACTATTCTGCACTCAATCAACGCCACCGACAAACAACATTCTTTGAACGTCCGGTCGCCCGGCGGCCCTCCTGTAAGCACCCTCTACTCAGGGTAGAACACAAGCCTCGATCCCCCGCTCTTGCCGCAGCCTCCATCGGTGTACCACACGCCCCAGTATTCTCCGACCTTCACATGGTGAGCATGTGTGTACTTAGCTCTCCGCAAAAAAACGCACATAACCGGGGGGTTGTCTACAAGCCAGCTACCCCGGTCGGCACATGGTTCCAGGAACGATAGCGGCAATTTAAGCGCCACGCCTTCTGCCGCTACCGCCAAAGCCGCCTTGACAAACCTCACAGCACGCTTGTACGGAGGGCTCGTGACGACCCAGTCAGGTTGCTTTCCGGGGTGGGNGTATTCTCCGACCTTCACATGGTGAGCATGTGTGTACTTAGCTCTCCGCAAAAAAACGCACATAACCGGGGGGTTGTCTACAAGCCAGCTACCCCGGTCGGCACATGGTTCCAGGAACGATAGCGGCAATTTAAGCGCCACGCCTTCTGCCGCTACCGCCAAAGCCGCCTTGACAAACCTCACAGCACGCTTGTACGGAGGGCTCGTGACGACCCAGTCAGGTTGCTTTCCGGGGTGGGCTTTGAGAAAATCACCCGGAAAAGAAAGCAAGCTCGCGTCAAGGTTGGAACCTGGCGATAGCCTTGTGTGGCCACAGAAACATACAAGGGAGTAAAGGTGTGAGTATATTGCCTTTAACTAGAGGGATATTGATGCATACTGATACACAGAACTGCTGGACACCAAACATCGAACGGACATTACTCGAAAACTGGACCTCCTTACCTCGAGCTCACGTCGTTCGTGAGAACTTCACACGTGCCCCCAGAGCCCAGTGCCACCGCGTCTTGAGGTCCTCCGCACATCTCCAAAACACAACCCGTTATATCAACAGCATCCCGCAAGGCGTCCACCGCCCCCGGCGAAGTACAGTACCGATCCAACCGCCGGCGTTTGTCGTGCGTGACAGGTTCAGGAGCGGCGCTCCAGGTCCGGCTNGTTGAACGTCGTGTCCGTGATGATGACAGAGTGGAAGCGCACCGCGGTAGCCTTCTGCACGTCAGACGCCCAAGCGATGCTCGTGATGCGGGCCTCGTCGTCTGCCCTGAACCACAAGTGAGCCTTGGTTCGCTGCACGTGCATCAGGAACTCCTGGGCGTCGTTGAAGGCTTCACGAGAGGCCTTTCGATGCCTTTCAACAACGGATCGCACCTGCCGTCGACATGCATGCACCATCCAAGAGGGGACATGAATTTGGTATGAGCACTTCAACGGCTTAGTCCGGGCAGAAGCACGCTCAAGATATCATGCCGACATCGTCGTGATGCAACAAGGAGGACTTCAACGGGCAGCCGCCGGTTCGTTGAGTTCTGTCGTCGGCCCTGTTCTCGCTCTAAGTCCCGTCTACGCCAACTGGACACTCACCACCGCTTTCCCTTCAACGCCCAGCCTCTTCCCGCTCTTCTGCTGAACAGTCTTGTGGAGATCTACCGTCTTCACGCCTGCATCAGCAAGGTCGATGATGAAGTCGGACATCTGCTCCATGTCCTCGCGAGACATCTCGTTGTCGAAAGTTCTTGGGCGCGCGTGCTCCTTTTCGTCTGAACTTGGCGTGTGGTGCGTGAGGCACATGCCTCCCTGCGCCACGGGGCGTCGCGAGACAAACGAACGAGTGCGGAATGTCAACAGAACGCACATCATACGTACGAACCTAAAGCTCACCGCCCTCGTCCCACACCCCAGACACCACAGTCAACCCGTGGAGGAATCCTACTTGAGGTAGGCTCTGGCGCCTGTCGACCTCAGCACATCAACTCGACGGTACCGTATGGTCACGAGTCGATTTCCTCCCGCCAACGTTGATGAGCTCACCTGTGCAACGACTGGTGCATCACTGTTGGCCGACCACCACAGCACCGTTTTGAAGTTGCAGCCCAGCTAGGATTCGCACGCGGGGGGATGAGCGCAACGAAGATGGGGAAACCAGCATGCTTGTACGCGTGGAAAACGGAGACCGTTGTTGTGCTTTCGGTGCTTTTCCCGACGTTCAGAAACAGACAAACTCCCGATGTGGCGTTTCTTCGCCGAAACGAAATATCCCAAAAACAACAGGCGCCTGCCGCGTATTTGGACACTCTGCCTTGTTTTCCTGCGCTCTTCTCGCCGTGGAACACAACCCAACATGCGACTTCCCTATGCGTCCCGCGACAGTAGTAAACTGTATTGGATAAAGGCTGACCATTTGACTACGTGCACAGTCATCGATGACTGTGCACGTAGTCAAATGGTCAGCCTTTATCCAATAAAAGATCTTTTATTGGATAAAGGCTGACCATTTGACTACGTGCACAGTCATCGATGACTATGCACGTAGTCAAATGGTCAGCCTTTATCGAATAAACTGCCGGATGAAAAGGTCGTATTGCAGCGCGTGAAACGTGCAAGGAAACTTGCACGGGCCGTGCGAAAAATCCTACACTACGCCGTACTGGCAAAATATCTCGGCAATTTCGGCGGCCGTACCGGCTGACATGATCGACAGAATTTGTGTAGGAAAGCATCGAACCACCGCATGAAAAATTTGGACGTCACAGCGTACACAGGCAACTGCACAGCGAGCAAAGAAACAAGCGCACGCAATCGCCCTCGAACGGAAAGCCACTGGTGGTGCTTCCGCCCCTCGCACGCATTTAGTCTATACTACGGAAAGCGAAGCGCAGAAGAAGCGAAGGGGTGCCTTCATCAGGTATTCACGAATATTCAACCAGTATTACCTTGGACGAAGAGGTGTTCTTGCGATCCTCCTCGTTCGCAACACGTTCACGTCTTCTCGGCTCCCCGTGGTGGACGCAAGTGATCCACACACAAATCCATCTGTTGAGCTTCCCCCTGCTCTGTGCCTGTTGGATTGTCATGAGCTGGGGGGCGGCGGCGACGACACAATCACATGTCAACACATCATACGTCAGCCCTCGATAGTATCAGGGTGCGCAGTCACTTGTCACATTGGACAACCCGAAAAAAACGAGCGTGCCAAACAGAACTCGCATACATATTATCACCAAAGCACCATCCCGTACGCCCACGTAGCAAGTACAACAGCATGTACGCCAGCGAAGCGCTGCTGCGATCGAAAACCCAATGTATGCCAAGTAGGTCTTACCCTGCTTTTGCTAACTCTCGTCACTTCGAAGCCGCGGGTGAATCCGGGCAAATCTTTCACCATCTCCACGGCGTTGTTCAGGGTCTTCTCGCCATATTCGCCGGTCCCGTCTTCTTAAGTTGGGGAAAATCAACTCCCTGACCTGCTGTTCAATCGCCGCTATCTCCCCTGCACAGGTCCACGTCGCATGAATCCGGGTGGTCAAGTGTGGCACATTGAGGGTCTAGGGCTGCATCGCCGGCCGGAGCTGGACCTGGACCTGGACCTGGACCTGGACCTGGACCTGGACCTGGACCTGGACCTTCCGCAGCCGCGGGCGCGTCATCGGCCGAGCATCCAGGAGCTGCGCCATTACCCGAGGCAATGGTGTCACCGCCAGCTTCACCTTCGCCACTACCAACGTGTACCACCATGTCCTCCCCCTTCCCATCAGCACCATGCGTCTCCGTGGAGGTGCCGCTGGAAGACATGAGTGCCGCCAGCGGCGAAAGGCTTGCTCCGTTAATGGGACAAGGAGCAACGCCTGCCCTGGCAGCTGCTCCTATGCATACCGCAGCAAAAACAATTCTGTCCGTAGTGTTTTTTTTTTTTCTCCCATCATTGGATTCTGTCGTCTGCCCCTCTGGCCCCTATCCTCCACTACTACTAGCTAGATGACCCGACCGGGGTCGCACAGGAGGGCGGGGTTGGACCCCCTCCTGCGGATCCTGCCTGAGATATTTTTATCGCGGGAAGGTTATAGCAATCCCTTCCCAAGTTTGCTAACAACGCGCTTGACAGCGGCATCGCTTCCAACGGAGACCAGGATAAAATCGTGAGAAATAGGGTGGTCTCCCGATCGGACTCTTTGGTCGTACGTCCAGTTGATCATCAGATCGAACGTCAGTCCGAATCGCCCGATCTCCCATATTGGGAGGCTCGATGATTCGCCAACAATGGGCTTCACCCACCCACATCGATCCCAACTGAGCTACACTTTCCTCTTGCCCTTTCCTAAGGGGGTGTCCAACGCATCCTCCAACGTGCTAAACGAAACCGATCGGTCATACAGCAGTGTAGTATACTAGTATACTTCGAGAGGGGCTTCGGTGAATGGCACCTTGCTGAAACCGTTTCTACGGCATCTACGGTGCCTACCCGCCCACGACCCGTAATATCGTGCCATATACGGTACCATTAGGTCAGCGGACCAGACTGCGCGGTAGCCTGCACCAACGCCCCGGAAGGACACAACGGTCTTCCTTCTTTGAGAAGGTGAGGGCGCGGTATCTATTGTTCGATGCATCGCGTACTTGAGACCGCAGCTACAAGCTAGAATATGAGTTCTATCAAGTGCACTACTGAACTTTTATGCCAGTTGCTAAATCCCAAAATCTAGCAAAGACTCTCGGCCCGTGGTCACGAAAGTGCTGGAGCCATCTGAGGATCTAAAGAACAAAGAACACGCACACGTAGCAAGAAAAAGGTGTACAAAAGAGCCCGAAGAGGTACCACTACACCTATATATATTCCCTGCAGCACCGTACGCGTGCCCAAAACTGAACTACACGTCCGTCTCACCGTTCGACTACAGCAACATCACCCCCTACTTGTCCCACTCTGTACCAAAACGAATGATTGCCGACTACAGCATACTTGCTGTCTGAAGTGCTGTCTGTACAAAAACATCATGGTAGGCATGGAACAAGAAGCTGGCGGGGCACAAAGCTGCAGTCTGAAGTGCTGTCAGAATGTGTCTGCGGACGTAGAGTGAAAAAGAACAACCAACCAAAGCCATGATTGCAATGGACAATCACCCGAACCTCTTGCTCCAAATCGGACCATCTACAGCAGTGCTCAAGAAGTTGATAATGCCTGTCACACCCACCACCAACCTTTTGGACAACTCGATAGAGATAGACGAGCAGCATGCGGTAGAAGGGGTCACCAGGCCCCACGTACAAGAATCCCATCGACACAACAGCACGGACGGGTCGAAAGAACAATCTTTGTTCAAGTGCCTGCGGTGCGCAGCGACAGGAATTAGTCCACATGCGTATACCTACGACCTTTGACCTTTGGGTCGAGCTCTTTTATTTTTCAGCAAAAATAAATAAATAGGGAGGAGGAGAGAATGCGGGAGAGAGAGACAAAGTACAGCAGAAAAGGGACGTGTGTACTTCTGTAGACGGAACAGCTATCTCCACCCATAGGCCATGAGGGCTGCCTACGACAGGACGGTGGGCACATACAGGTCATAGAAGGGTTGATGTGTGGTAGCGGTGCGGCCGCTAGGGCAGGTAGGCTTGTAGACCTCGAAAAGATCAGTCGTCAAGCAGCCTAAACCAATCTATTTTCATTACATTCAAATGATCAGTGAAAATGATCAGTGAGAGGGCGAGAGATTCATGAGTGGCATTTGCATTTAGAGCAGTGTGCATTTTTCGAATTTTGGCCGTTCCAGGGACCTGATATTACCCGCTGGCACTGCTTTGACGTCTTTGTATTTGTTACCGGGTAGCGCGGTCGATGCGGTCGATGCGAATAATAAAGACACACCTACCTATTGACTTGCCAACACCTGGCGTGGAGGGATGTTGTTGTGTTGTGTTTTCGTCCTGTTCATTATTGCGACAGTCCCCCCATTTCGTGACGGTACTGACTGGCGAATGACTGGCGAATATTACGTTTTTTATTATAGAAAAATCATTAGAGGAGACAGACACGCTTGACGGCCTACCCTCTCTCTGTACTAATTCAGTCAGCGTCATGTCCCTCTCTGACCATTGGCATTTGGCGACAGTGGGGACGACTGGCGCGAAGATGAAGCGGGGATGTTCACATAAAATTAGTTGGTCTAAAAACGTCATCGGACAAATTTCATTCAGTCCCGTGGACAGGAGAACCTTGAACATACAGTCCCGTGCACGAGGAAGGAAATTTCAGTGCACGTTCGTCGTGGGATGTGCATAGCGTCCCGACATACATCAAAGGAAACGTGCGAAGCAAAATTTCTGGAAAGATTATTTCCTTGCCATGTTGTTCATGAGGCAATCAAGGAATGGCCTACGTCGGACAAACGCATTCATCCGAGGGGACATCGGACAAATGTAAGGGACTCCTTCCCGGCTCCCGGCTGCCCGCGGCAGTCGCGTAGGACCCCACCCACCAGGTCACAACTGCTCCAACACTACCTCCCTCCTCGCTTCCTCACGGTCATCGAAGCGAAGGTCGACGGCGACACCCGCGTTCTACGTACATCAGCATGTGCGATACCTAAGTAGTGTTGTCGTTTGTCCGTCGGGCCTCGTTGGGGCCGTGGGTTGTAAGAAATGTGAGGAGCTTCGTAAGTAGTGCGGGCCTCGTTTTTGGGCCGTGGGTAATGTCGGGACCCTCGTAAGTACTGTCGTCGTTTGTCCGTTCGGCCTTTTGCTTCTCAGTAGTGTGGGACGAACTCCGTTTCCTTCGATTTCGTCCTTCGCTTACCCTTCTTGCCTCGACTTGACGTATCTGTAAGTAGTTCGCGTCTTTGCCGTCGTGGGAGCGAATCACCTCCCGTACTTCTTAATGTCATGTACCCCGTCCAGTTATAAGCAGTCACGGGAGCATGCGTGTGTGTGTATGTCACTACGTGCATGTTACAACAAGTACCGGCGGGAGAACGACGTCATCGTTTGTCCTTGCGTCGGGCTGTAGCGACTGCGTGTTCTGTAATAGGTTCCTAAGAAGGGAGCCTGTCGATATTACATCACGAAGTACTTGTAGTCACGTTGCAGTAAGGGTAAGGTTTTTTCGTGGTGAGACGTGTATGTAGACTAGAGTAGAGTGTATTTTTGTATTTTTCGTACAACTACAACCATCCAGGGTCACACAGGAGGGGGTAAACACCAGGGCTTTTTTCTTCATTTTTTTTGTTTTCATGCCCCACCTTCCTCCTGCGGTGCGTGCTGAATTTCATTTTTATCGCGGGAAGGGTGCAGCCGTCCCTTTCCCTCGTCAACGGTGCTAAAGTCGAAGTTTGGTACTCACGAGAGCTTTTCAACTTTGTTTCGGTTTCACCCACAAAGTCTGCACATTTTTCACCCCGAAGGGATTCGACCTCACGACCCCTGCGACTGGCGGTTTAAGAGGATACCACTAGACCACCAGGGCGACCGGTCAGGGTAACAACTCCATCGCATGCCACAACACCATCATTTGCAAGTGATCAACCAATGATGAGTCAGGACGCCTGTAGACCCAAAAGGGTTAAGCTGGCGTCCTGTTGCGCGCTGAGAGGGAACTACTGTACAGTCGATGTATTTGATGCGATCAATTGTACGAACTCATCGGGTTTTATCCCACGAACAACTCGTGTACGCCGTGTTCTGCCGCCCACGCAGTCCATTGAGAAGTCATTGACTAGCCTACACCATAAATGTGCGGTGGTACGCGCTGACCGGGATCTGTGAACACGATTGATGGTCCCGCTTTCCCTGTAGCTTCACCTGACGGCGACGACGAGCCGAGGGAGACAAGATGACCCCGGTCTCGAGTGACGGCCGCGGTGGGGATGAATCCTACCAGCACGTGAGTGGAGGGCCGTGAGTATAAATGTTGTGCAAAAGAGCTTTCCGCTCTCAGGTTATTACCGTACGTGCAGATGTTCCCCGTTGCGGTGGTGCGCACGAAATGGAAAGCCGATCGTTGTTCAACGGACCGCTCTCGCTACTACCCAGGTATTCACGCGGAGCTCGGATACCTTTCTCCAGGCAATCGCTCGATCCATCAACAAAATACCCCAAGATCAAGTTTTCGGCCGCTGGTACAACAGCAAGGGGCACGTGGAATCCACTCGAACCTTTCATGGCATCTGGGTGGCAAGCGGCGAGGTGATACACCTGTCAACGTCAATATATTTTGTATGTCACTGTGAATCATACGACGATCACATGCACAAGGTTTTTACTTTCGAAAGGACATCACACATCGAATCAAATACGACGATCATACACAAGGTTTTCACTTTTGCATATGAACTTTACGAGTCACTAGAAATTTGATGGCATTGTGTGCGAAAATGCCATTATTGCAAATTAGACAACGACACAAATTTGTGACCACCAGCTACGTTGGCACAACCGCTCTATCCTTCGGTGTGGTCAAGTCCTCGGAGTTACACTTTCGTGCTCTCACGCGTAGAGATCCGTCGTTACGTGTTCTTCCTAATGCGGATGCCCGACGGGTGCACGCGAGGTCGATTCTCCGCGATCCCGTTTTTTCCAATGAAGCAATGCCTGCCTGCACGAATCGATTTCTACAAGGACCAACGTGTGTCCTTGCACTTGAATGGTGACCATCGAGGATCGAAGAAAGCTGTCGACATGGGAATGAATATTCGAGGAGATAGATGCGTCCCGAGGCCAGCCGTTCCAGGTTCTAGAGTACCAACAAACTACCTGGTGCCGATAAGAGTTGCTGTCGTGCGGGTAGGATGCCTGCTTCGCTCATTTTCAGGTTGAATTTCATTCTGGTCGACCATGCGCTCTCGAAAACTTCGGTTTCGGAGGTACGAGTGTAAGCGAAGTGGATACTGTGTAAGGATTGCAGCAGCATATTTCTCGTCGCTCGCTCGCCAGGTCTTTGAATCCTGCTTGAGTACGGTAGTTGCCCGGAGATAAGAGACGTCAGTTTCAGGTCGACCCTCAGTGCCTTTGTTCGTCACCGGCGTTGAGTCGAGGTTATTCTACATAGTAGGTTAAGTGGTGGAACCTCGGGTGGACTGTGTTCTTGGTCCAAACATTGCTCGTATCTGTCGGTAACACTTGAGCCATATGTTCTCGACGGCCTTTGCTCCACCTGCGACACCAGAGGGTCGTTTCCCGGGGGGACCTTATTCCATCGCCCCCCGCCCGTGCACAGTAGATATCCTGTGTAGCGAGGCCCCAGGATTAAACCGTCTCTGCGTTTTCTGCTTGCCCCCCTCCCTCAGATTGCGCACCTCCTTCGAGTAGAGTGGGGCCTGAGCAAGGGCGACCGAGTCGTGCTGGCATTCGATTTCGGCCTGCGCTTCTTCGCGGTCTTCCTCGGCTGCTTGAGAGCCGGCATCATCGCCGTGCCGGTGTACCCGCCCAACCCGGCCACGCTCAAGAAGTCTCTCAAGAAGCTGCAGCTCATCGTCGACGACTGTGCACCCAAGATGGCCCTCGTGTGCCCGCTCGTCAACAAGCTCCGCCTCGCGTCGAAGCTGCGGGCGGTGGCGACGGGGAAAAGCGGCTGGCCGGACTTGACATACCACTGCCCCGACGTCAAAGAGGAGAAGATCGCCACGGGTGGCATGTCTTCATCTGGCGTTGGGTGGAGGAGTGGTGGTGGCAGGTCGGCGGACGTCAAAAGGACGCGACCGAGCTTCGACGACCCGACCATCAAGCCGCAAGACGTGGCCTTCCTGCAGTTCACCTCAGGGAGCACCTCGGATCCGAAGGGGGTCATGCTCACGTACGGCAACCTCACCCACAACATCGGAGTCATCGTCAACTCCTCGAACGCGGTGAGATACGAAGAAATCAAATATCTGCGCCTGCTATGTACGATTTCATGTACTCGTGAAATCCGCAATGTCCGTTCTTCACTACCCGGAAAGAGGAATTGAATGCGTGACCCCTACGCCATCCGGTAGACCAAGTGAATGAATGTGGTTGCACACAGAGAGCGAAGTCTTGTCTGGTACTATCGAGGGCATTTTTTTTCTCAACAATGTATGCTGATGGCCTATCGCGGCTGCAGTGGTAAAGGCTTGCTATCTAGCCGTTGTTCAGCGGTGTGTCGATGAGCTAACGTATCATAGTCGACTTTTTCCGGAGGATGGCCCAGAGATCGCGTAGTAGAAGGAGTTCAAGAAGATAGACCTTTTCGTTCGCGCGTGCCAACCATTGGCGGGTTCTGGGCATTCGTTCCTTCTCTTGTCCTGCAACACTGAGTTTGAGCGAGCAGCAATCTCAATTTCTTCGACTTCCGAACCTGAACCCCCCACCCTCGACACACCTACGACCCCGCGCGCCGTGCAGCAAATCGCCGCACGAGGAGAGGTCGCGGATGGCCAACGTACCTGGTTCTCCTGGCTGCCGACCTTCCACGACATGGGGCTCATCCAGGGAACTCTGGCGCCATTCGTCGCCGGATGGACGGCCGCGTACTGCTCTCCCATCACCTTCATGCGACGGCCTCTGGTGTGGCTGGAACTCATGTCCAAGGAGAAGTCGCAGATGACGGCTGCTCCGGACTTCGCGTTCCGACTCTGCCTGCGGAAGTGGTGAGAGGTTTTCAACTCTAGAAATTTTAGAAGAGGCAAGAACACGGCAGCAAGAGTGTGAGGTTTCCGTCTAGAAGAGCACATCACCTGCCGACACATGTCGTGGTTTCGACCAGCATATGCATCGCGACCGGAACAAATCGTTGAATGGGTACTTTCCCTCGACTGCCCCGCACTGCAGATCAGAAGAATTTTTTTCGCCCGAGACGTTTCGATTACTATGCTTACGTCCATCACTAATTCGTCCCTCCGCTTCACCCGTAGGGAGGAGATGTCGCCAGAGAGCCGGACGGCACTACACCTGGACCTGAAGCACATCATGTTCATGCAGAACGCAGCCGAGCCCGTGCGCTCTAGCACTGTGAGCCTGGCCGATTTGTCCGGCGACATTTGTTGGTACCACCGTTGGCCCAGCTCGAAATTTCTGACCTCGCCGCACCCACTACAGTGCCCCGTATCGTTGTTGTTGCTGTTATCGCTCAGATTATGGTATATCGAAAAATCGCTCGGGATGTATACATATACCTCCTACACTCTGCACTTGCAAAGTAGTAGAGAATCGGGCTTCTTTCGTCAAAAATCATCCGAAACAAGGCAACTTCAGAATCACAACAGCAACAACGACCCTGACCAGAGTTCGAATACCGCACAGGAAGAAAATGAGTGAGTTCCACATCATGTGCACAATGTCAAGACGAAGGGTTGGCAAGGGAGAACCAGAAAGCATGCTAGCATATTGATCCCTCTACCTTAGTTTGGAGTCTATCCGTCAACGGACTCCTTTGGAGTATCACAAGCGCTACGCAGAACGGCAAAAGAAGCACACGACATGTTTGTTTTCGGCATGAGAAGCAGCTACACCAAAACGACAGAAAGCGAGATGAGTCCCCAACAAGCCCCACAACAATTCATTATTGATCCGCACCGTGGAAGGTTCGCGACTTCGCCGAAGCGTTCGCTGCCGTGGGCCTGCCGGGATACGCCTCCAATGCGGCGTACGGCCTCGCCGAGCACACTGTCGGATGCGCGTCCTTCAGCCCTAACCCGGGAGGAGGGGGCTTGAGACACGTACCTGACGAACGGCTGCAGGCTTCAGGGGATATTCACTTCTCGGCCAGCCTCCACATGGATGTGAGATCTAGCCACAGCGCGTATCTTCAACATAATGCCATCCATACGAACGCTGGCGGAAAGTAATAGTGTTATTTTTTTTGCCGTAGGTTTTTGACGTCTCTATCAAGGGCATCGCAAATCCTATCTTTAGGCGTTAAGGGATTGGGAAACTGGAAGATTGGGAAGTATTTTGTCGTTGCTCAAGCAAGAAGGGGGGCATCCTTTGGCGTGAAAAACGTATTCTGATTTGAAGTGCATGCACAGGGCCGCAACATATCGTACAATACATGCAAGCAGGAGTACCTATTGAAGTTACACAACAAATGACCACCGCGGTTGATCCGTTGATATTGTCGATGGTGAAGAAAGGCATCGACGTGTAGCTCTTTTACCCAAAAGCGACAACCGTGGACTTGGTCCGGTGTAGGTTTCAGTTTTTTCCCGTGTTGCCTGCCTGCACACAGGCAGGGCCGTCCACACTAGCGTTGTAGCCATCTCAGCCCTGAATCCCCGACCGTCCTTAGCCAGTCCCCAAACAATGAAGTACAACGTCCTGACCAGACCATGCCTCTCGTCCGCCCCGAAACGACCAACGGCATTGTGTGGGGTGGGCCTGGTGCTGTTAATCTTTCGCGTCTCAACAGATCAAGATCGTCGATCCCGAGACCTGCCGGGAAGTTCCCACTGGGGAGACGGGGGAGATGTGGATATCGTCGGACTCTGTCGCTGCGGGCTACTGGGGCAAGCCCGAGCTGACCCGGGGGACCTTCCGTGCACGGATCAAGTATGACAGTGCCGACGGGTGAGGTTATATCAGAGAGAGCAGGTTGCCACAGCCTTGGCGTTATTCCCGTCTCACTCTGAGGCGGCCGTTTATGGTGTACACCCAGCCCGAGTTCGTCCATATCTTACACGTCTGTGGATAGATAAGACTGTCATTGGAAATCTGTTATATATGGAAGGCCATGATTTCTTGCCGGTGTGCGGGGTGGTTGCGCTTGCTCTTTTCCCTCAGCGCCCGTGAACCAGACCACATCGAATCCCAGGTCTCTTTCCCCTCCGTGGGCCAATTCGGAGTTTCTGCGCACCGGAGACCTATGCCGTGTCGACGCCGAAGGCCTTCTCTACGTCGAAGGCCGCCTAAAAGACCTCGTCATCGTTGCTGGGCGCAACATCTACCCTCAGGTGAACGTAGTCCAGGTTATGAACATGCACGTATAGGTTGGCTTTGCATTGTTCATGGATGGTCTGCGTCTTGAGTGTGTCGCTCGATGGTTTTTCCCAGTCAACGTGCTCTTAATGCGTTCAAGATCAAGGTCGAAACATCGATGGTGTTTCGGTATCTCCGCGGCGTTCCTACGAGCGCGAAAGGTTTTTACCACAGTTGTTCGCAAATATCTCGCGGGCCACCCCTGGCTATGGATGTCATCCTAAACCGTTACTCTGCGCGCAGGACATTGAGTTCGTCGCCCAAGATGCGTCTTCTCTGGTCCGCCCAGGGTGCATTGCGGTCTTCTCAGAGACAGAACTCGGCGGCGGCTTAGAGGTGAGCTTCAGGCTATTGACACGACGTTTTTGGGCACCGGCAGGGCTGTGTTGTTCCACTCCACTTCTGGCCTACATATTTCAACTTGCCTACACTACTACTGCAATCTGCATCATATTGCTGTGGATGGAAGATGAGGCAAATTCAGGGGGTCAAGATACCTACTGGTGTATTGAGGCGGACTGACCTCTGCTCCGTTTTGATTTGCTGATTCACAGATCGTGATGGAGGTGCGAAGCTTGTCCAAGAAGAACGTCCATGCAGTTACGGAAGCGCTAGAAGCCGTGCGCCGCAGCGTCATGAGCGAATCGGGACTCGCACCTTCCAGGGTGGTGAGTGCGTTGTTTTCGTCACAAAACAAGAGCTTTCGAAAGAGTCATCTCACCCGAAGTGGCACGGGAGTACTTGTCGAAGTGCATAGTCGACACTGGATCAACGTCGCGAAAGGATCCAGCCGGAGTTTAGCTGAAACGGTTCGTTCGCGTCTACGCAAGAACGGTCATGCTCTTGCCGGCGAACACCCGCCTGCCCCCTGCTGCATCGCTGCCCGTGTTTGCCGCAAAACATGCGACAGGTCGCCATCAAAGAGAGGACGATTCCGAAGACTACCTCCGGAAAGATTCAGCGACGCAAGACGAGAGCGATGCTCCACGCGGGCGCCCTAGAGGTGGTGCAGGAGCTTCGTTTCGATCCCGTAGAAACGCCCCCGCCTGCTGTTCGTGGCCCCGCTCCGCTGAGCGACCGTGAGGAATCATCGGCCACAGCACCCACTGCCGTGTCTGCTGCAGAAAGGGCGCTGCATTTTGCGTCCTCTTCAAAACTCTCGCCTCAAACGGCTGATGGCAACACGAGCACGGTGCGTTTGTAAAGAAAGAGCGTCGTGTTTTCCGAACAGGGGGGCCAACTATAGCTTCAGTACTGTGTATTGGGACTGGGGTATGAACCCCGCCCCCCTGCTAATGTCGGCAGACGACACAGTGGCGAGGGGGGGCTGGTAGTCCCGTATTCCGTGCTTCTCAACACACTTACCGACGGATGCTCCGTAGCGCTTTTTTCGAGGGGTTTGTTGGCGTTGACGTCCTCCGGAAAAAGTAATGTAGTCTAGACGCCAACGGCTCATGCTTGCAATATTGCCTAACTGTTACCTTTGCGGTGCCGCTAAGCGCGAAACCGTGCTTCCGCGTATCGATGTTCTCCCGAACAGGCCCTCAAGACGAGCAGCGACGCTGAAACTCCCCGCGACAACACAGAGCGGCCTCTCGAACCGCGAGCGCCAGCCGAGCTGTGTGTCAAAGACGTAGTCGACATCGTGCAGGCAGTGAGTACTTCTCTGTGTTGCTCCCCGCCCATGTTGATGGGGACGGTGGGATGCGTTTTCCCGCAGCTAGCGCGATAGCCTTCTGTCTTTGAATGAGCTACTGTAGAATCGAAGTGGCGAAGCAATTAACATCGCAGTGCACAGCCAGGGGGCCTCGACGGGGCAAATATATATCCTTCCCTGTCGCTTGAACATGCAAATTTCTTATGATGGTAAAGAGGCTTTCTTAAAGCCACCTCGACTAGGGCTCGCTGAACTGAGACGATGCGTGTGCAAACTTCAAAGGTGTAGTGTAGCATAGAGGGCGTGGTGCACCTTCGCGACCATGCCGAACGTTCATGACTGTCCTTGATTCGACAGTCTTCGTTCGGTTGCATCCAGCAGTTACAGAAACAGTGGGGAACGTGATATCTTGCCCATTGTCACGAAACCGCCCCTCTGCAAATTTCGACCATTTTCAGGCCACCGGGGTTGAAAGTATTGGAGAATCCGACGACCTGCTGGACCTCGGAGTTGACTCTCTCATGTCCGTTGGAATCAGCAAAGTGAGTTAACTTGTAATTTGTGTCATCGTCGTCGTCTATGACTCCCCGATATCTGTTGGACCCAGCAGTGTGAGTTGACTTGTTGTTGCTGTCGTCGTTGTTGTTATAGTTCATTCAGTGCTGTTCGGTTGTACTGTTCCAAGAGCTTCCGAGGGCTTCCACGAGCTCTCCCACACTCAGAAGTAGGAGGTCTAACCGGAAATCGTATCTTGCTTGGGGCATACCAGTAGCCTTGAAGCACACGACATGGGCGTGAGGCCCCGACGACAGTCTGTGTTGGTCTTTTACTTCGCATGGCCATTCGTAGATCATTGCCATGGCGATAGCAGTGGGCTGCGGTACCTCCGCGTCTAACGCCTGTGCTACCCCAAGATGTCCTGCCACGTGACGTCCCCTCTACTTGATTACGTATCCTCTGGTGAGCAGGACCTGTCTGAAGCTTCCGGATGCGAGCTCCCACAGGAGCTCGTCTTTACCCACCCCACGGCAACCCTTATCGCGGAGTTCATAAATTCTGCCGTTCAGAGTCACCAAGCCACCACTGTCGCCAGGTGTGTGCATGCGTTGTCTATTGATACTAGTGATGTCTTCTGTCGAAGCGTTCGACAGCATTGCACGAGTTCTGCAGCGTCACGATATGTGCTAGACGCTGACCGAGCGGGTAGTTGAAGTGGAAACCAAGATAGGGTTGCTGCAGATGTGCTTCGACGCTGTGGAAAGAAGACGACACTCTTGGTAGTTGGGACAATGAACACAACGTTACCATTTTCGCAGGGAGGCACGAGCTTACGCCAAAGCCGGAATCATGAACGCGAGCTTTGAAGGGAAATTTTCATCATGACCGATCTGCATTGCCGACTTTCGACGTTAAAGCTTACGTAGCGACCTCAGTGCGGCAGACGTCTCCTCCATGCCCACACACATGGGTGGTTTGGACTGCCCGGGCGGCTCCCACGTGAAGAACCTGGGCGAGCAGTGGACGACGGGTCCCATGCAAGGATGGGCGTTTCGCCTAACCCAGGTGAATATACCTCCCCCATGTGTGATGCAGAAAACCCATCGGGGATGGGTTTTCGTCTCTTGGCAACAACGTTATAAAACAACCCATCGCCCCCCCCGGTGTTTGCCATCGGGGTCGGGTTTTCGTCGCATGGCAATGACGTTGTAAAACAAGCCAATTCACTTCGTGAACTCGGCAACCAGGATACCGTTTTTTTTTTTACCTCTGTTAATTATGGCGGTAATCATAATGGTGGTCGAGTGGATCATGTTGTGCGGGGTCGAGAACCCTCACTCCGCGCAAGGGGAATGATCGCACCACGTTGTGTTAAGATGGTTAAGCACCCTCGAGGCAGTTACACAGTACTTACAACTGTCTCTGGAAGTGAACACCAGAAAATAAATTAAGTCACACGCAGCTGTCATCCGTATGGAAGGAAGTGAGCACAAGATGCCGAACACCATCAGCAGGATGCAGCGCACCCTTCATGCGACTCGCCGAATATCTCACGGCGCTTCGCGCTTGGTGATGTGAGAGCCTGGTCCGGTGAGAACCCGGCGTGCTCCGTCCCGGCTTTGTAGGGATGCGAGG